TGTGCGGGGCTCGGAGAGCGTGAGGACTCGAGTCGTCGAAGCCGATATGGTGCCCGTGATTGCCACCATCCTTGATAACTATATTAAAGTGGTCGAGAAAGCCCGCGCACGGGCGGATTCAGAAAATCAGAGACATTCATCACGACACCACACCAAAGGTGCACCCATCACTAGCGACGCCCCTTCGCGTCCAGTGTATGTGGACCAATCGACGAACACCGAGCAACGTCCCTCTCGCCGTCAGGCGCCACCGCCTCACATTGAAATCCCCCCTTTCTACCAAGACAGCCATGCCTCGGACTCGAACGCCATGGACATCACATCGTCCCCTCGGGTGCCTGTGACCTCTCCTCCGGAACGGAGCACCTTTGGACAGGATGCCCATAACATTAGATCCAATGATGCCCGCTATGCCCATGCTGCTCACCGCTACCGGGTGATGCAGCCCCTTGCCACTGCCCTTCCTCCCATGGATGCAGCCGATGGCTTTGGCCTACGCCCCGTGCGCGACACAGAGAGGCTTCCCAGCATGCTGCCTGGTTTCCAGACCGGCCTTGCGTCTCAACCTGACTCCCCAACCACTCCCAGCGGTCCTGCGCAGCTGCGCAGCAACACACAAGCCCCTTCCGCCCGACCGCGGCCTACCCTAAGGCAACAGCAATCAGCCTCTGGTGAGTCGGATGATGGAAATGGCGAGGGCTCGACTCTGGGTGACGACCCGGGTTCTGGAGAGACCGCTGAGCCGATCGTTGGTATCCAAAACCGTATGGAGATCGATGATGACGGCGACAGGCAAACTGTGCTGGAAGGTGTTTCCAACACGCACGACTTGACTGTCAATGATACCTCTGAAAGCCAGGAAGCCGAGACATTCAACATCACTCACCGTTCTACTGTGGATGGCAGTATGATCAACAACGACGCAACGCGCACGAACGGGGCCTTGGGCCTGTCACCCACGCAAGCCCCTAATACTGCCAACTCGCCTGCTGTTGTTCCCAGCCCATACTCATTGTATGTGCGTGACCGATCAACCACAGCGGTGCAGGGCGTCTTGACGACGATGCCCAAGGACGAAGATGTCCTTATGTCGCTTCAGCTACTCGCATATGTTTCCAAATACTGCAACCTGCGCTCTTACTTCCAGCACTCCCACCTCGTTCCTAAGCTCAAGGTTGACCGTGAGCTCCAAATGTTGGAGGATGGCGTGTCGCCCATCGAACCTCCGGAGGAGGAAGATGAATACCTGCTTCCGGACGATGTCAACATCTTCCCCTTGGTGGAGAAATTCACGGTTCGCCACCACTCCAAGGACATGCAATACTGGGCATGTGTGGTGATGCGGAATCTCTGCCGCAAGGACGAGTCGCGAGGCGGCATCCGGCAGTGCGCATACTATAAGTGTGGCAAGTGGGAGGAATTCCAGCGACAATTTGCCAAGTGCCGGCGCTGCCGGCGCACCAAGTACTGCAGCAAAGACTGCCAGAAGGCAGCGTGGGTGTACCATCGTCACTGGTGCCACACCACGCCATGATATGAACGCATGAAACTGTTTAATACCTCTAATGCATATCGGCTTGCATAGCGTCGTATCTGTCATCTGTTACCATTTCGTCATTCCGTTTCGTTTCCGAGGGTTTCACGTCTACCCGTGCATGGCATTTCAAAACCTGGCGGCTTTGCTCTTCATCCCAAAGATACCTCTTGTATGTCGTCAAATTTTATTTTCATCATCATATTTCGATTTCTCACCTGTTTGATTAACGCGGGGCATAAAGCCTGATTCCCGGTCATATGGATTGATACTAGCGGTCATGAATGCGTGCACCTTTCTACCTTCTTCCCTGGATTGTTTCTGTCTTCATCATCTTTTTTCTCTCTGTCACTGTTCGAGCCCCTAGTTCCTCCCCGTCCTGACGCCCAACGATTTTCCTTTGTGAGTAGCAGCCTATCTATCTAGCATTGTGAACCACTTCTCCCCCCCACACAATCTTTCTGGAAGCGATTTCTTTGGGCATTGTGATTTACCTCTTATTGCTTGTTACTAAGAATTGGGCTGGGGCCGAGCCCGATCCAGTTTTAGTTGGGTTGTTGTGCATCTTTGGAACCTGTGCATACACGAGTGGCCTCCCTATGAATTGGACGGTGGCTATTGATCTAGTACTTATTCACTTGACATTTCACCATACACCACCCACCAACTATATTTAGATCTTAAATTAACCAACCCTACTGTAATCTTCATTCATTTCTCCTCTCCCTCCTTCTCCCCCCTCCGAAACCCATACGTAGCATCCAACCGCGCCATCAAATGTTCCTGCGCCGTCAACGCCCTCTTCCCCTCCTCCAACATCCCCGCCCCACCCCCAAACCCAACCCTGACCCCTCCTTCCCCCTCCGTAGTATTCTTACTCCTAAACTCCTCCACAACCCTACTCGGCACGGGCACCAACTCCGTCCGATCCAACGGATGACAAAAATACACAATACTATACCGATCCTGCGCGTTGGGCCTCTGCTGCTCCGCCGTAGGGAACACCACCCGATGCACCGTACTCTTGAGTAATCCGTCCGTCCAGTAGCTGAGTAAATCTCCGATGTTGACTAGGATGGGTGGGAAGGGGAATTCATCATCACTCCCCTTTCCTTTTCCTTCTTCGGAGGAGGTGGTGGGAATCACAGGAACAGGCGCCCACCCCTTCTCATCCGGCGTGAGGATCTCCAGCCCCGGTTGTCCGGGACGTTGGAACAAGAGCGTGATGGAGCCGTAGTCGCTGTGGGCGCCGGCTCGAACGTCCGTCTTGTGGCTGTAGCTGGAGGTTAATGGCGAGGTGATGCTCGGGTAGAAGAGGTAGCGGAGGATGCTTCCTGTTGGGCCGGTGGTGGGGTCGTGGCGCGTGGTGAAGAATGTGGGGGGGATCTGGATTTATCTCGTTAATTATGTTGATTGGTGTTTGGTGATGGTGATGTTTGGGGAAAGCTTACGCCGAGGCCCAAGGCTAACAGGGTCAAGATCCGAGTACAGGTTTTGTTGCATAGGGAGGCGAAGTGGGCGATTTCGGACTCGTGCGGGGTTAGGGATGCTGGGAGCGGTTGTTGGGCTTTGTTGGATTGGGTGAATTCGCCGAAGTTGAAGGCTCTATTGATTGGTTTTAAAGTGATTAGTTGGGCGTGGTAGTTATGGTGGTGGTGGGTGGGTGATGTACTCTTTGAAGTCGCCGGTCTGTCGGGTGGTTAGTTAGTGATTGGTATACTATGTTGATAGATGGGGGATTGGTTTGCTTACGCGTTGATGCTCAGGGTCCAAGGTCTCGGAGTGCATGCCGGACCAGCCGCGGTTCTGAGTAGGGTTGATTAATTGTTGATATCTATGGCTATAGATGGGTGGGTGGAATTTCACGAACGTTAGGTTCAATGCGACAAGCGGCCTTTTCTTCAACTGGGGAAGCGAAGAATTTCTTGGACTGTAATTTGATGTATTAGTATATATTGCTTATAGTGTATTGGTGATATGTACCAGCTCAAATGCACGATCCACCTCTGCGGCCGTAAAGTCGGTCCCCCGGCTGTCGACATACAAAAAGCCATACTTGGTGGCAGCTGCCAGAAGGGCCTTCCCCGCCTCGGGATCGAGGGGGTTGGAGATGTCCAGCACGGGGAGATCGATGGGAGGGCCAACGTCGGACATGGTGCTATGTCTTGGCTGTATGTAGATAGAATTAAGGTGAATCAAGGAAGAGAGAGAAACTGTTAAAAGAAGGTGGAGATTACGACTTTATGTTTAAATGGAAGCGTGCTTGTTATCGGACAGCTGCAATACAGTTGAATGCGGGTCGAGCCGATGGGACAGTCATTGGCCCACCAAACCCTCAGGCTTCGGGTCCGCGGCCGTGGCTATCGGCTATCGATCGAATCGGGTCCAATGGCATGATTAAATGTCGGTGATTCGATTTGAAATGCGAATTCGGCTGGTGGATTGCGGTGTCGTTGTATTATTAGTAGTTGCTGTTGCCGAGGATGTGTTCTGCAGAGTTATGTAGGGTTCAACTTTATACTGACTGAAGTTGACTATGCTACAACTAACAACGTTTGATACTAGCAGTTGCCAACGTACATTTTTCTAATAGTCCGGTTTGGGCAAACTAAGAACTCTGTGCTCGACTCTGTCTACTTCGATACAAAGTGAGTGCTGTGAGAGGGTTTGAGATATGACTCAATGAAGAGGGTAAGCCCCACTACTGTCTTGCAATTGCATAGCTACCATTCGGTTATGTGGACATGGAATTGAGATTTGTTTATCAGTGCTTTCTGTCATTCAGATAAGTCATATAATCCTCACCAGGCATGCTTCAAACTCCATTGATGGTGTACAGCAGTATTTATTAGCAGGAAGCCTGTTCCTTTGATACACATATATGCTAATTATATTTGTGACTAGCATCTGCATGTATCATAACTGTGGTCGTTATATGTATGTCAGTCACATTAAGATGCTCAGTTGTATGCAAATATATATACTGGTAGTACTAGTATGCCGCAGAAACCATACTTGCACTAATAATTACTACTAATCGAAGAATAACACAGGAAATCACACTATATCATGATACATCTCTCTCTCTCTTTTTTCTTTCGAAAAAAAGGAGTTCAAATAAAGTACTTTATAGGTACCAGCAAACACCCGCCAATGCATACCGCGGGACGTGACGCATTTATACTTCAGAGACAATTGCATTCACCAAGGACAGTTCCAAGGCGCAGTACACCTAAACAATCAATTGTACTATTTTCATATCATACCAACCAGCACAGCAGCAACTACCACTATAATATGACCATTCATAACTACCCAACCATCTATACAACCACAATCACTGCCTCAGGCACACATACACACAGCCTAACGCCAAGCCCCCCCAATCCCCGTAAACGCATGACACCATACCTAATCCGGCAATGCAGCATCGCCATCATTCATACCATCATTAAACTTACCTTACCTCCTATACTCATACTCATACTATACTCCCTCTCTCACTACATTATATACAAGACTCACCCTACTCTACCAAATACCCACTCACACACCTTCCACATCTAAATCGCAACCAACCACCCAAAAGATAACACCACAGAACAAAAAACAAAATGTCCGATCCCACCGCCGAAGCCGTCCCTCCCCCACCAACAACCTCAACCCAAGTACGTGACGTCTTACCCCCCTCCCACCTTGGTGCAAACCTACCAACTCAAACAGCGCAGCTAACCAAATTTGATATTCTTGATAATACCAGAACCCCGACGCACAAGGCCAATTCTCCGCCGCCGTGGACGATCTCCTCGACCAGCTACAACATAAATTCGATGGTGTTTCGAGAGAGATGTTTGGGAAGTGTATGTTCCATACACCCTTCCCCCCCGTTTGTACCTGTTGATCTTGTGGGAGTGATCGCAGCATGCTGATAATCATGGGTTTATTCTGTGTGTAGTGGACGATATGGCCAGACGGTTGGATGAGTTAGAGGCTTCGTTTACGGTTGTGGATGGGACGACTACGACGTCCGGGGGTGGTGCTGGTGGTGGTGCTGCGTCGCAGACAGGGACGGGGACGGGGACAGGGTCTGGGTCCGTGGTGGGGAGTGCGGTTGGGAGTGGGAGTCCTGAGAAGTGATTGGATTGAGTACTGTTTTATACTGTTTGGTAATGGGGTTTATGGTGTTATGGGAGTTTTTGCTGCTTTTGTGTATACTCGGGGGAGCTCTCTTTCGTTTTTATGGTGATATACATATGGGCTGGGTTGTGTGGGGGATTGAAGTGGAATTGAAGATACCCCCTTACACTGATAATTACATTTACAATATACTACTACATGCACATAGGATGGATGATGTACTACTGTTCGCATCGATAACATTCTCGTAACTGCCTCTCGATATCATACAGAGTAATAGAATCTAGGTGACCGTCACCTAGCTAAAAAGGTCATATCCATACAATATCTACAGCTCATCCTTGGCCTCCTTCTCCTCACCAACAAACTTGCGAAGGATGTTGCTGCGGGAGATGAGGTCGTCGACCTTCTCAGGGGCCGATCCTCCCTTGGCCAGGATCTTCTCCAGACGAGCAAGCTCCTTGGTGGCGTACTCGGCGTTCTGGCTCAGCTTGTCGGCAACCTTGACGTAGTACTGAGCGTACTTGTCCTTCAACTCCGCAGCAGCCTTCTTGACCGCGGCGGCGAGATCAGCAGCGGAAGTGCTGGCAATCAGCTCGTCCAGACTGGCAATGGTACCGGCCTTGGTGTCAAGACCACCACCAACGGTACGGTGGGTGCCGGTCTTCTCATTGAGGAAGTCAATGAAGGCCTGCTCGGAGCGGGCACCCTCGTAAGGAACAGATTCCGTGGAACCCTTGGGGAAGAACTTGATCGTGGGGTATCCGGACACGCCCTGCTCTCTGGCGGTGGCCTTGCCGTTCTCAGCGTCGGCGTCGACCTTGGCGATCACAACGTTGGGCTCGAGGACGAAGTCGTTGGCCAGAGCCTCCCAGGTAGGAGCGAGGTTCTTGCAGTCTGCAATTCAGCGGAACTAATTAGTAAACAATTCCCTAGAATGTAGTGGCAAAAAAAAAAGGGATACTCACGTCCACACCACGGCGCGGTGAAAGCAACCAGAACATCATTGTCACCACCAACAGCACCCTTGAAAGTCGCGTCGTTCAGCATCTCCACCTTGCTGGGCTCCTTCTTAGGTCCACGGGGCTTGACACCGGTCTTCTCAGAGATGAACGAAGACAGACTCTCCAAATCACGACCACCCTTGTAGTCCTCCGGCTCATCACTCTTTCCATCGAACCACTTCAGCGTGGGGAATCCCTGCACACCGAACTTGCGGCCCAGGTCGCGGTGCTCGTCCGCATCAACCTTGCCGACGGTGACCTTGTCGGAGGCGTGGGCGAATGCCTGGCCCAGCTCTTCATATACGGGCGCAAGGTTCTTGCAGTGACCGCACCAGGGAGCGAAGAATTCAACCAGAGCGGGCTTGCCGGACTTGAGGACGACGTCGTCGAAGTTCTTGGGAACGAGATCGACCACGGCTGCGGTGACCGCGGAGGCCAGGCCGAGGCAGCTCACGAGGTTGCTGAGACGGACCATGATGGATGGTGTTGTTTGAGTTGAGGAAAAGGCTCAATATAGGGCAATTGACAATATACTTGTCAATACCAGGTCTGTCCGTTCAGCGAGGAAGGGGTGGTTGCTGGGCGGAGTGTAGATATAGTCGTATGAGCTCCCGGCGTGGAAGGCGGAAGCGCTGCGGAGACCGAGCGGGTCGGAAGAGGACACTTGGTAAGTTAAGCATCACTAATCAACTCCAGCTCCATCAGCGGCTTTACGGCTAAATATATCGTTGTATTCGCCACTACGCTCTCTTTGCAGGTTCCGACTACGCGGGGGAATAATAATACGGTGTAGCGCCTGCCAGCCCCTTCCATTCCTAATTATACAACGTGGTTGGAGTAGAATTGGGCGAAGCTTTCAGGTGGTCCTGGACCACCCAGCCGACACGACTGCCATGTTTCGTGAAATCGTGGACAGGTAGTAGTGTTTCCTCTGGTTCTAGGAGGATACTCTATACCAGTCCCTTACCGCCGCTCGGCCAACCAGCGGTTCGCATCCTCCCACTGCTTGCCCTCCTTAAGTTCCTTGCCTGCGCTCTGCGTACCGCGGTATACCTAGGAAGTAGATGAGTAAAATACGCCGGCTAAGATAGATAGTCCTGACTCACCGCATCCCACAGCTTGAACGCCATGTCCAGGTTGCCCGTAAAGCTGTCGCTATGCTGGAACCATTCCTTGCCCTTCGATTTCACTTCTGCCCGCGCCTCTGGCGATGTGGGATCCGCTTGCAAGGGCAGATCATCAAGGTAGGTACGGACAGCAATTCCAAGACCGCAGTCGTTGTCGTCGATGAACGGAAGCCTATATTGCGTCAGATCACGTCACATGGCGCATCATGTCCACATGGCCACTTACTTGATGCTCAGTTCGCCCCAATCATTTCGCTCCCGGTCAGCATCGCCGCTCAGGAGCAGACTGGCCAGAACCACCTCGATGAGCGTCCGTAGCGTAGAACGAACCTCGGAGATCAGGGATCGGTAGCAGAGCAGTTGCCGGCTTAGTGGTCCAGAATAACCGATGCTCTTGTGCTGGAGTTTGGCGATGCAAGCAAGGCGGGAAACAAGCATGTTGAGGCTCTTATCCTCGTCTGGGGTGGAATAAATCAGCACCGTTTCATAGCTACAGAAACCTCGATCTTACCTGATCCTCTCATAGGACCTCCCGAAACATGGGAGAACCACTGCTTGGAGTTGAGCAGGCCAAACCGGATCATCTCAATGGCAAGGAATGTTGGCTCCTCAAGCGCATCCGACGGATCAAGTCCCGACAATGCTTGCTCAAGGCAGACACCCCACTGGGTAAGCTGATGTTTCTCATCAATGTAGCCGCGAAGCTGTAGGAAGCGCCAGAAGACATTGGCAAGCAGCTCATCTTGTGACGATAATTGCTAGCATGTGTCAGCCCACTCGCTTGCGATCTGGGGCAGAAGATGCCTACCTTGGTGTCTTTCGTAGCCTTGGACTTCGCTACAAAGTCACTATCTTTCAAGCTCTGGACCGCAAATTGGAAACGTCCACACGAGCTCTGATCTTTGGTTAGCAGTGCTTATAATGTTAAACAAAGGTTAACTTGCCTGCAGTTTCTGCAAGCTCTCTGGAAGCTGCTCGGTGGGAATCTTCCAAGACTGGATCGAATCTTTGACTGGAGGTAGATCTCGGAGGTTGATCGTTGAAGGGGATTTTTCATCAAACCATGTTCGCACATTGATAACCTTGGTCTGATAGAACCGATGGAGGGAGTTCGATAGCAGGCAAATCGACTGAGTCCGGATGGGTGTGAGGGTGCTGCCGGCAACTTGGCGGTAAATTTCCGTGTCCTCGACGCCCAACGGCAATGAGATGAGGACTTCACCCGACGTCAAATAGTTGGGCACATCAGGGCCGAGAATTCCCTTGGACAAGTAGAAGTAAAGCTCTTCTGGGAGGCGCAGGCCGATGACGGCGTGCATATCGGACGAGGCATTCTCCTGGTCCATAGGACCCACCCTGCCGTCAACATCGATATAGACATGGTGCTTCACAGTCATGCATGCGCGCTTGTAACGATCCGTGTATTCAAGCTCCTGCATCCGGCGATCTTCTTCAAACTGAGCGCAGAGAGCGAGAGCGCTTCGTCCTGCCGCGTTGAACATTGGCAGTGCATCTCGGACCGTAGGGTTCTTTCCGGGGAAGACATGGGTTTCGAAACCAGGGAAGGGCTGGAGGAAGGAAGAGCCCAAAAGAAGGCAAAAGTCCAAGAACTGATCATTTGATAGGCGGCCTAGTTCTTCCAGACATGTCTGTTTGTTGATCCAGAAAAATTGCGCCGGGTCAATCTCAATACGGGTGATCAGTTTCTCCACGTCGAACATCAACACTTCGGAGGGGCCGCAGATAGCATCGATCAGCGGGTTCGGTCCCTTGGCCAGGTAGGAAAGCTATAATACAAAGGTCAGAATGGCGCAAATGGGGCCAACCGAGGCGGCGGCATTCATACCTGAGCTGCAGCACTATAGGGAGCAACGATATAATCCACGCCATGTTGAAGAAGTATGCGCTGCAAGAACCGGTATAGCGACTCGGGTCGAGGGGTGCCTAGGACAGACGACAGTCAGGGCCAGATGCTCTAGAAGGTCAGATTCCACCATTAACATACCGGCGCTGCTGAACGCATCCACCACTTGGTCCGCCTGCTGTTGATCGTAAAGATCCCAAGCCTGCTCGAATGCCCGGACGGACTCCTGCTGCACGTGGGGTCGTTGATCCTTTTTGCCAAAGTCGAGACCGTTGAACACGAAAATACAAGCCACGCCCAGATCCTTGTAGGCCTTCAATTCTCTTTCAATGTTGCTCTTCAATGCGAATGGAAAACCGCCGAGGGCGACCAGAAGGGGCTCGCGTGTGGACGGTTGGAGGAGGTGTTGAGAAATGTAGTGCGACGCATCGATACCGACAACTGCCCCTTTGAGAGCTGAGAGGGGGAGGGACTGGGTGCGGGTCGCGGCCCATTCATCGAGCGGACGGACTGTTGTGATAGAGAAATTATATTAGCTTGGAAGAAGACGAGACACAGGAGCTCCGTGGGAGCCACGACCATAGCAGACTTACTTGGCATGGTTTTAGCTGTAGCTGTGTCGCGGAGTTAGACGCCGGAGCGGACACCAGGCGTGGAGAGCCCAGGTGGGGAATGAGGGAGAGGATATATGAAGAGTTGGTGCGAGGATGACGGGGAAAGGAAGAGACTGGGAGAAATTGAGGAGAAGAAAGGAAAGGAGGAGGGGGAGGAGAGGAGGGCCGGCGAGAAACCAACAGCTCAGATGGAGAGGGGAATGATTTGGTGGTGATGGGATGATGCGACAATTGAAAGTAGCAATTACAGCTTGAAGCCAATCACGAGGGCGGTGTTGCCCGGGCCAACTGGCGGATCCTCCCTCCGCTGCGGGACAATTTGTAGTTCTTCTACTTCTCCCTCTTCTTCAGTTTCCACCATATATTCCAGCTGTCAACTATGGGAGATTCTGACCCGGAATGGCATTTCCTATCAAAAGAAGCATCATGGTATAGCCTGGTTCCTGGCTTCGGGAACCCAGTGGTTGATTATGAGTTCATTTTGACTTTTATGTTATCTCGACATCCAAACATGAAAGAATCATGAAGTCAAAAGCTGCAATGATGACAGGATATCCTAGCCGGGTGGAAGTCTTAGAGCGCAGATTCTCTTTACTCTTACCTCACTCTACTAGCACTACTCTGCCATACTGCTTTTTTTGCAAGTCATCACTACAGTCATCTGGTACACCCTCAGCCTGACAGAAACATCTATACACTCCTGAGAGTGGAAACGGACTCTTACATCTTGCATATTGCGACCCTCGAATAGAGCGTCAGACCTCATCTAGCCATTATAGTCTACTTACCTACAGAGAACTGTCACTCTGAGGGGACATTCGCTGCCTGCTATCAGTATTCTGCCTTCGTCCCCTCTTCTTTTCACCTCTGTCCTGATTTGACTCTCTGTCCTTCCTTTTGCCTCCCTAATCTTCCCCTTCTAACACCTGAGGTCATTCATTTCCATATGCTTCTCCATCCACTCTTTGTGTACACATTTGATGCCTTCCATCAATCTGAGCAGGGCACATAGCGTCTCTTATTTCCTGAGAATTCCACGCCCTTGCGGTACTCCTACCGTCAGAAGCAGCATTTAACACTGACCGAGACTAGATTGAAGTGCGCGACTATATGTTAGACATCCTACGCTGGCCGTAGATGGATTTGCTAGTTATTGTGCCGAATGGGAGTTTGCCAGAAGCAGCTTCCTTTCTCTGACTCCTGTGCTGCTGCAACTGTCAGCCTCAACGCACCTGCCTTTTACTGATACCATGGCTTCCTTCTGCAGTCTCGATCGAAAGATGTGTCTTCTTCCTTTTCTCCTACTTAACGAACTTCCTACAAGTACGAGCAAGATTCCCCTAACCACACCGGACATCATGTCAACGTGGAACTGCCATTCATTCGATCCGGAGGTTGCACCGCTGCTCGGTTATCGCCCTTCTCTCACAGCTGGAATCCTTTTCACGATTGCTTTTCTTGGTGTCTTAACAACCCATGTTTCGCAAGCATGCAACACCATATATCCCTGGATAGGATTGGTGCTATCACTTGGAGCTGCCCTTGAGTTTATCGGATGGCTTGCTCGTACTTTGGCTTACCGCTGTCCATATAACTCCACCATATGGGAAATACAGCTGTCAGCTTTGATGTCTGGTAAGTATACAGTTCAATGAGTTTACATTGGCAACAACCCTGGCTAAAGCATACAACTAGCTCCATACTTTACAACCGTCGGAATCTACGGAGTCTTGGACCTCATGTACGCAATTATAAACCAAGTTCGACTGCCGTTAAGGCCGAAACGGTGGGCGATTACGTGCATGTTTATCGCGCTTCTTAGCCTCATCCTGCAGGTCATTGGGGGCTCGCTGGCACACAAGGCCTCCAGTGTTGACGACTCAATCAGCCTGGGAATAAACATTTTGTACGCAGGCAGTCTCCTGCAACTCGCATCGCTTAGTATCTTCGCGGTGTTGTTCAAGTGCCTCATAGTTCGTACAAAAGATCGGCTCATCTGGAGGATGCCAATGATCAAAATGATAGGTGTACTTCCGTTTGCTTTACTTTGTTTAATGGTTCGGGATACCTACCGCGCCGTGGAGTCTACGAATGGATGGCGTGGGTATTCCTTCACATATGAAGTTTTAGGTTGTCTTTTCGATGGGCTCCCTATGTTTATCGTTAATATCACGCTTAGTATCTGGCATCCCGCAGTGTTGTTGAACGAGGCGAGGCTAATGGAGGCGACAGTTGCGCGAGCGGAGGAGATCGAATTGCGAAGCATGGAGATCAGAACGGGCGAGGAAGTCACTTACTTGACGAGTACCGACCGATTACTGAGGAGCTGGAGCCAGCCCTTCGTAAACGATAGTACTGATCTCATGGCTGTTCAAGGCTCGTGGCTCAGCTCTAATTAGCAGACGGGATCTTGCTTCAACTGCTTTATTGATACTTCACCAGGTAGTACTAGTTGAAATAGTAGATACGCCAGTACTTACCAGTGCTCGTCTACGTCAGCATCTTTTACTAAGAATCCAAAAGTGCTTGTCAAAGTTTCTCAATAAGAAACAAGAGATAAGTGCATTCCTTACCACCCGCACACTGTAATACAATGTAGCTGGTAACATCCATCTATGCTGGCGGAGACCAAACATATTGCCAAGACCGCTGTCATTCTGAATTCCCGTTCGGCATCTTCTCTCACTCAATCACACAGCAGCATTATGACACATGAATGAACAGATCATCTGACTGCAACAGACTTATCATACACACTACACCAATATAATACACAATAATAAACCCAGAGCCAACAAATGAGCGCACAATCCTCGCAGGTGCGGCAACCACCGGCAACCCCCACTTACATTTTACGCGGCCACGCCGCTGCCATCCACGCGCTACAGATCTTCCACCAGAACCTAAGGCTCGTTTCAGGAGACGCAAACGGATGGATTGTTGTATGGGACCTGGTATCAAAACGCCCTCGAGCGACTTGGAAGGCCCATGACGGCGCTGTCCTTGAAGTCAAGGGGTTTAACTTCAGAAATGGCGCTGTTACAGAGGTGTTCACGTGTGTTATCTTCCCATCCTTCCCATGAACCATCTAACCTTTTCTACAGGCATGGAAGAGACCACAAACTGCGCGTATGGAGATTCAGCGTCCAGGACGAGGAGAATCTTCAGAAGACCCTCCCCGTGGACATCGAGAAACCCTCCTCAGCTGCCGCAAGCCAGCCATGGCTGGTGCATTCGCTGCCAGTGAATGCGCTGAATTTCTGTGCCTTCTCCATGGTTTTCCTTCCCCAGGATAAGGCCAACATGGCAAGCGATGCCGATGAGTCCTCGAAAGAGAACACATCGCTTTCATCAGTGCTTATTGCCGTCCCTAATGCTCTGAACTCTGGCGCGATCGATCTCTTCCATCTCCCCCAGGAGAGACGTATCTGTACCATTCCAGCAGACACGGACGTACAAACTGGAATGGTCATGGCGGCTAACCTCGTCATATCCCCATCTGGGGAGCTATATGTTGCTTCCGCTTACGAAGATGGTCGCGTTATGGTTCATGGCTGCAGGGGATCCTTGCAGGAGAAAGACCTGGCACAAGGTGCCAAAACGCCATGGAAGTGGGAGAAGTTGTACATTTGCCGCGCTCACTCGCAACCAGTGTTGTCGCTTCATGTCTCACCTGCTGGCAATTACTTCTTTTCTTCATCCGCCGATGCGGTACTGGCGAAGCATCCCATTCCGACGCTGGGTAGCCCAGGACATGCCCCGGAAGAGTCACCGATCAAATCGATCAACACGAAGCATGCGGGTCAGCAAGGTGTGCGGATACGGTCTGATGGGAAGATTTTCGCGACTGCGGGTTGGGATTCTAGGGTCAGAGTCTACTCGTGCAAGACGATGAAGGAACTAGCGGTCTTGAAGTGGCATAAAGATGGATGCTACACTGTGGCATTTGCGGATGTTGATGTGTTTGATGTGCGTGAGAAGAAAGCAGATGAAGAAAAGCAGCCTACGGTTTCGCCGGATAGCAGTGGAAATGAAGAAACACAGCTCGTCAGCAAGGCAGAGACGGAATTCTCGCTTGCAACGGTGCATCGCCAAAGATACGAGAAGGCGCAGAATACGCATTGGTTAGCGGCTGGGTCAAAGGACGGAAAAATCTCATTGTGGGATATCTATTGATTTGTCGTCAATTACTATTTACATGTGTGTTGCTGATCAAGCAAGATTGAACTCGCTTGCTCCCGCCATGTGCTCCTTCATCTTCGCCCTCATCTTCTGAGCTGCCGTGAGAGTGTCCGTTTGACGAGGAACATCATCATCGTCGTCATCGTGACCACCAGCCTTTCTCTTCTTTCCAGCGACTGGTTTGCGGTCGGCCTTGAAGTCCTTCTTGGTGTCGGCCTGTCCTTGGCGCAGACCAGGAACGTTGATCTTGCTGGGACGATCACGCAGAGCGAAACTCTTCGCCAGATGTCCGAGATGAAGCTCCTTGATGTTGAACATGCTCCGCTCGTTGGCGATATGTGTGGCATAGGCGCGAATGTGAGACTGATAAGCTCGCCGGGCCATTTCGAGGTAGTTTTTGTTTTCCAATGCCCATCGTTCCACGTCCAGCTGCCATTCGGTGGCCTTCTCCTCCCAGTCTACGTTCTGCGACTCGACGTTTCCTCCAAACCCGCGCTTCAAAATGTCGTCCGCGGTGTTCCGTGTCAGCGACTTGCCGCCGTCACGGTATCCCTTCTTCAGAATGTCGACGTAACCCTCCTCACAGCCGGGCATGAGGAAGATGTGTGCACGACCGTCACGTCCCAGACGCGCAGTACGTCCGATTCTGTGCAGATGGTCCTCGGCGCTGAAGGCAGGGTCGTACTCCACGACCAGATCAACGTTCGGCAGATCCAGACCACGGGACGCAACGTCAGTACAGATCAGCACGGAGGGTTCGCGGTTGCGGGCAAAGGCACCCAGGGTGGCCGTCCGGACATGCTGAGGCAGAGAACCGTGCAGTCTATGCAGCGTCACCGGGTTGGAGGGATTCGAAAAGGCCGTAGCAGGCGCAATAGTTCCATGAGCCGAAGCACCGAGCTTCTTCCTCTTCTCCTCTTCATCCTCCTCATCACTATCCTCGCTCTCTTCCTTCTTCTTCTCCTCCTCATCCCCATTCTTCCGTGTAAACACCTCAAAGTGAAAGTCCACAGAGTCCGCACAAGACACAAAAATGATAGCCTTCATGACAGACCCCTTCCTCATAAACGTCCGTTTCATATACGCCGTAAGCGTAACAAGCCGTAGCTTCGACGCGACAATCGCATACGACTGCTTCAGCTGTGCCGGCACCCGGAACGCATCATCCTCATCCTTCTTCTTCGGCTCGCCTTCCTCATCTGCCGGATCCGCCTGAATATGCACCGCATCCTTCAAACTGATCTCTCCCAGCTTCTGCACCGTCATCTTCAACGTAGCCGAACACAATATCGTCGTCCTCTTCGCCGGAATCCCAGGAATCCGACTCGGCCGCTGCCTAGCATCCAGCTTCTGAATAATCCCCGCCAACTCCTTCTCAAACCCCAACTCCATCAACCGATCTCCCTCATCCAACACCAACCACCGCACATTACTCACATCCAACGCCTGCGTATTCTCCAAATGATCCGCCAACCGACCGGGCGTCGCAACCAAAATATTCAACCCCTTCCTCAACCGTGCCTTCTCACTCTTCTTCTTCTCTCCTCCAATCACCGTCCCCGCCACAATCCAATGCGCACACCGCAACAACCCCTCCAACACCACCGCAATCTGCTTACACAACTCTCTCGTCGGCGCCAACACAATAGCAAATAACCCACTATCGCGCTGCACTTGCTCCCCTTCCTCCCTCTTCTTCTGATTCAGCGAAATCGTCATGATCCGCTGCACAAGCGGCAGCAAATACGCCATCGTCTTTCCGGATCCCGTCTCCGCCTGTATAAATGCATCGCTCTCCTCCTTCAGTAGTTGCGTGATACTCGCTTTCTGAATCGCCGTCGGCGCCTTCACCTCCAGCTTCGTCAACAAATGCGCCGCCAGCGGTGCCGATAGTCCCAGGTTCGTGAATGTGTCCAGTCCATCAATCAGCGGCGCGTTCGTCGGCTTGGCGTCTTCCTCTTCTTCTTCGGCTCCGTTCTTCTTCGCTTCGAAAGCGGTTCGAGGTCTCGGGTTCTTCGAGAAAAGCGACGATACGACCTGTCGGGGACCCCCAGGATGTTGTTGTTGCTGGCGTGGTTGCTGCTGCTGCTGTGATCCTCCATTTTCATCATCATCACCAATGCGCTGTCTCTTCACCGGCCGCGGACCGGATACTTGAATGCGATTCGGATTCCGGGGATTACTATTTTGTTGCTGCTCGCCATCTGTGGATGATTTCTCTTTGCGTGGGTTGTTCGTTCGGTGCGCCGCGATTTTCTTTGCGCTGAGTCGGTCCCGCCATGTGCCGCCTTTTACTTTGGTTTTTTCGGGTTTGAGGACGGTTGTGTCGGGGATGGTGAAGTTGAGGAGGAGACCGTCGTCGGCCATTTTGGAAGATGTTAGGTAGGTAGGTAGGTAGGTGCCTGCCTGCCTTTCTTTTCCCTTTTTTCTTCTTCCTTTTTTGTTGTTTGCTGGGGGAGGTTCTAGTACTGGATCGATCCGGGAAGAAACTTAACTTTACTCCAGAGGGAAATTTTCTCGGGCCGGGGTGCTTCCGAAACCCTGCGATCTTGCCCTATTTTCTGTTTTTGGGTGATAGCTGGATATTGTAGAGGGGGTTTGTTATGGGGTTATTTAGGTGGTCTGGAGTAGTGTGTATGATTTATTTTAATGTATGTGAAAGTATAGACTTTTAGGTACTCTATATACGCTATTGAGTTCTAGGTAAATGACGTCGGGTATATGACACTTGCTTTTGAATGGATCGGGCAACGGACAGACAGAAAGAGCTTTTTTTTAAACCCGCGGCTTGAAGATCAAGTTGTCGATCAAACGCACAGGAACTTGGCCATCACCGAGGCCGCAGTCCTCGCCCGGCTTCGCCTCCTCCAGCGGAGCCATCTTCACCGCGCCACTCAGAATGGCGCCCTTAGCGGGGTCAACAACTTCCAGCTCGTCCAGAGTATCCGGATCAGCCAGAGAGATGTAGTCAACCTCATACAGAGCCCTCTCCGTGGGCGCCAAGGCCTTCTGCTCAGACAGAACCCGTTCAGTGACGCTGTTCGCTGCGTCAAGGATTTCACTGCGGTTGACCTTGCCAGCGTTGTAGGCATTCTCCGCCGCCTTCATGGCTTCGTAAAGGACCAGACCCACTGCCCGTCTTCTCTTGCCAAGGTAAACGTTCCTCGAACTCATTGCCAAGCCATCGTGTTCACGAACAGTATCCCCAATCTTGATCTCCGTGTCGATGTAGAAGTCCTTCACGAGACGCTTGATGACCACCGTTTGCTGCACGTCCTTCTGACCAAAGTAAGCCCGGTCGGCATGGACAATGTTGAACAGCTTCATGCAGACAGTCGCAACTCCACGGAAGAAAACCGGCCGAGAAGCTCCCTCCAGTTTCCGGGAGAGAGGGGTGATGGTCACGAAGGAACCGTCGCCGTCGACCTCGGACGAAGGCGGCAGCGTCGGGTACATGACCTTGGAGGTGGGCGCCAGAATGGCGGTGATGCGACCGCTGTTGGTGTTCTGGCGGGCCAGCTCCGCATTCAATTCCTCAAGCTTCGCAACATCACTGTCCCAGGTGCGCGGGTAGCTGGAGAGGTCTTCCGTTACACCGAACTGTGTCGGATTGACGTAGATGCTGACGAAGACGTCGGTGTTCTCGGCCGCGGCTTGTCGGATGAGGGAGAGATGGCCTTCGTGGAGAGCACCCATGGTCGGGACGAGACCGACGGTCCGGTTGGAGAGGAGGAGCTCTCGACGCAGCTTGCGAAGTGGGGGCACATCGCGGAAGACTTGGAAAGTGTGCTGCTGGCGGGAAGAAACGGCCATTGTGGTGGTTTTGAGGAAAGATGTGGCGGCTGTGAGAATGTGTGAGAGGGGATAGTTAGCAGGTGTCATTCAGCAGCAGCAGGGGATAAATGATTGTGCGTTCAGGGGGGGCCCATACTGGAGAAGCGCCGTGTCCAGCCGAACATGGTGAATGCGAGTTCTGGGAGGTTGCAACGAAGGGCCCTGTCGATTGTACCGCAGGTGCCTCGTAAGAGTCCCGCAGTGGAGCAGGTCGCACAGCTCAGGCCCAATTAGCCAGTGTGATGGTCTTTAGGAGGGAGACCGCAGCTGTTGGTGTCTGCGACGATGCTCAGCCCGGGTGAAGCCAATGTAACCGAGACGGGCATGCTTGGTGGTGTGATAATTTGGGCATGAAAAGCGTGCTCCGAGCTGCCGCGTTGCGCTCATCCCTCAAGCTTTCGGTGAACTGAAGTTCCTGGACGTCCAGTGCCATTGCCCAATCCAGCCTAGCGTACGGTTGCACGGGGCGCAAGGCCGTTGGGTCTCACGTGAGCGGCGGCAGCACGAATCGTCCCGAGGCATTTCTGGGGAAGAAGCCGGGGATCTTCGCCTGGTTGGGACCCTCGCTTGCCTTCTCAGGAACCAGGAGCTGGTCGATCATGACAATGCCTATTTTTGCTCTCCCTCTCTCTTGATGTCGCTCGACTCCATCCCAGCAGTCTATGACCGCTGAGATCTATCGGCCTGCTTATTAAAATCACAGAGCTCTCAAGTGAACATTCCCTCCCCTCTCCCCGCCCGAGACGCTATGCCTTCCGATAAGTCCCCGGTCGGCGACTCCGCACCGGATCTCGAGATCGTGGGAAACAAAGTCACCATTCATCCCAGTGGAGTTACTGGAGGGCTGGAACCTCAAGATGAACAGATCACCGAACGCAACCTCGTCCGCCATATGGCGAGGTTTCGCGAGAACCCTTTCGATTTCCTACGAGAAGTGAGCTTGTACATGTCAGGAACAGGTTGGCGCGCCTACGATGATGTGATCGGACAACCCATATTCTATTCCGGTTTTACGGATCGAATGAAGTCCCGGATTCTTGCAAGTCCCCTGTTGCAAGGGAAGGTGAAGGAGCTGGCGGAGGCACGGTTAACAGTGGAGGAGAAGGATGGATTGTTGGATGTGACACCAGGACCCCTGGAGCAGAAACGAATACACCGTCGGAATGAGATACAAAGTAATCTGAAGGAGGTGGTAGATTCTATGCTAGATAATATGATCTGCAAGATGGAAAGCAAGAGGTTCATCCGCGGGGCGTACTATCTCTGCACGCAGCTCCTGACGCGCGCTTACCATCAAGGTAGGAGGGTATCCGACGTGTTGAAGGCACACTGTTAACGAAATTCTCAGGAATACACGTGTCTAGCGAAGAAGTCCTCCGGCTGAGATCTTTCGCGCAGGAGGCAGCTGCCAAGAAGCAATCCATTGTCTTTTTGCCGTGTCACAAATCGCATGTCGACTATGTGTCGCTCCAGCTTATCTGCTATCGCCTTGGAATTGGGCTTCCGGTCGTAGTGGCGGGAGAGAATCTCAATATCCCGATGCTGGGCCCTTTTCTCCAGCATGCAGGTATGGTTTGACACGCCTCAGAACTTAGCGCGCTTGCTGACTTGCCTAGGCGCGATGTGGATTCGGAGGAGCTTTGGAAACGATCCGCTATATAACACCGTTGTACAGGCTTATATTGATACCTTGCTGCAGCAAGGTTTCAACTTTGAATGTTTCATCGAAGGTGGTCGTTCGAGGACTGGAAAGCTTCTTTCACCCAAGTTTGGCATTCTTAGCTTTATCTTGGACAGTGTTCTTTCCGGTCGCGTAGAGGACACCATCATATGCCCTGTCAGCACACAGTATGATAAAGTGATTGAGACTGAGTATGTGCTCTCCTGATAAATGACTACTGAATTCTAACCATACGTTTAGGTCCTACATCAGCGAACTGCTTGGTCAACCGAAGAGAAAGGAAAACCTGGCTGATTTCTTATCTTCATCCTCTGTCCTTTCTCTTCAGCTCGGTCGGGTTGATGTTCGATTCCACGAGCCATGGAGTTTGAGAGAGTTCATCAACCAGCAATTGACACGAATGCCGGAACAGATTGTCGCAAAGGGTGGCCCGCAGCTGAGCTATGCTGATAGAGGTCGGGTATTGAGATCTTTGGGTTACAGGGTCTTGTCTGACATCAACGATGTTTCTGTAATGATGCCTACAGCTCTGGTTGGCACGGTCCTTCTTACGCTTCGCGGTCGAGGCGTCGGCAAAGGTGAAATGGTCCGGCGCGTCGAATGGCTGTGTGAACGTGTTCGAGCAAAGGGCGGACGGGTCGCTCACTTCTATCGTTACCCAACGGATGTTGTTGTCGACCGTGCGCTAGAGGTCTTGGGGCCGCAGCTTGTGGGCGAGGTGAGCGGACTGGTCGAACCGACTTACTACGCCGTGGATCGTTTCCAGCTTTCGTTCTATCGCAACATGACCATCCACTTGTTCATCACGGAGGCGCTGGTGTCTGCGGGAATGTATACGAGAATTAAGCAAGGCGGCGGGCCGTCTTATCAGCGCATATCCTACCAAGACCTCCTAAACCAGGTCTCGTTCCTGTCTCAAGTGAGTCACAAAATCATTATACCCTGGGCAACCCCTGCTAACCAAACCAGCTTTTCCGTGGCGAATTCATCTTCCCACCTGAGGGCCTGACAACAAACATGGAAAATACTCTGCGTGGACTCGAAAGAGACAACATAATCACCGTGAGCCGAGACGCTGCCGGCGCGCCACAATTCGTGGAGCTCAGCGACGCAGAACGGCAATGTGGCCGCGAGAACTACGACTTCTACTGCTTCCTAGTCTGGCCATTCATTGAAGCCTCCTGGCTCGGCTCCGTCTCTCTCCTCGGACTGACACCCCCTCTCAACGGCGCTGAAGATGTCTGGATCGATTTGAACAAGGCCCAAAACAGCGCCCAACTGGTAATTCAAATCATCACCAATGATTTCTAGTAAATACTAACACATAATATAGCTTGGCAAAACACTTTACCACCAAGGCGACCTCTCCTACTTCGAAGCCGTCAACAAGGAGACACTCCGAAACTCCTACCAACGCTTTGCAGAAGAAGGCATCATCCAAGTTGCCAAAAGCAAAGGATCAAAGATATCCACGATGAAGCTAGCCCCCGAATGGACGCCCGAGCGGGATCCAACCACGGGAAAGCTACTTCCCCGTGGCCGTCTCTGGGACTTTACTGAGCTGATTGCACAATCCAGACGTGAGGGGTGAGTTTACTCATAATTTTTTTTCCTTCTTATTGATGGAGTCCATTGGTCTGGTATACTGACATTTAAAAGGAAAAACCGCCGTGACGGCGCAACAGTCTCGTCGCGGGTTCTGCACATGTCGGACGTTGTGGGCCGCAAGTTATTCGAGGACGCAAGTCCTAGTCCCGCTGCGGCGGAGGAGGTTGATGTCTCCATACGGCAGATGAGGAGGAAGGCCATTACGCCTAGTTCGAAGCTGTAGATGGATTATGTGGCAGGCACATGAGACGAAGCGTAGCGTAGCGTTTAATATCCTTTTGTATATTTAAAGCCTTGCATGCGAGGACTACCGTTGATATCATTATAGCCTACTCACCAAGCATTAATTCGCATAATGAAATAAATCATTCACGATATATACCTTACTCTAGCTATATACAACCGACTAGTAGTAAGTAATCATACTATGAACACCCCTCACCCACCTTAACAACCCCGGACTGCACACCATCCCCGACCCCCCCAACAGCCTGCACAACCACCTTCTCCCCATCCCTCCCCACCACCCCATCCAGCACAATCCTCGTCTCAAACCCATTCTTCTCCCTCACATCCCCCACAACCCCCAACTCACTCCCCATCCTTACCTTCCACCCCCTCACATCCGTCGCCCCATTCCAACTCACGTAAACCACCACACTACCCCCTTCCCGACACGCCACTGCCTCCGGCCTCGTCGTCGGCTTCCCAACCCACTCGCGGAACCGATACCCCCGATACGACTGCGTCGACTCATCGAACCCAAACCGCGCGTTCATCATCAACGCCCCGTTCTCATCGTATTCCTCAATCACCGGCATCGCGCCGTGCTGGAGCAGCACGTGTCCGTTCGGAAGTGGCTGGAAGCCGCCCTGGCTTACGGCGAAGAGGGGGGCGTCGGGGTTCCAGAGCTTGCGGACGGCGGTTGCGGTATGGTTTTGCATGTCGAGGGTGAGGGTTAGGCCTGTGGTGATGGTTGTGGGGGAGGTGAAGATGTTGGCGTTTTCGTTGTTGTGTAGGTGTAGTGTTAGGGATGTCGCGTTCGGGGAGTAGTTGATGAAGCGTGGGTCGTGTTGATAGCAGAAGCTGCTGCCGGGGAGGAGGGTGAAGGAGGCGCCTTTTTGGCCCTGTGGTGGTTTGTTAGTGGGTGTGGTGATGGGGGGAGGGGAGGGACGTACGTGAAGGTGCCAGGTTACGTTGCCGTGTTTGTCGAGGAGGAAGATGCTGCACATGAAGCGGGAGGAGAGGAGGTAGGAGTCGCCGTATTTGGCTACCGAGTTGAGGTGCGGATATTCATAGGGATCGGACTTGCTGGTGCCGGATCCTAGGAAGGGGAGTTCGGTGTTTGTTAAGGGAATTTCGGACAGGTGCTCGACTGTGCTCCAGCGGAAGAGGACTTTGTTGGTCTTGATGTCGATTTCGTAGAAGAGCCCGTCTTGGACCCAGCCGTCTTTGGGGCCGCCGATGGGGGAGAGGTCGCATTGGGTGACGTTCACGGCTGTTACGAGGATGGCGCCGTCTGAGGTGATCTGGCTCTCGTGGATGTCGATGTAGGAGGGGAAGGTTTCCGGGTCGGCGGTGGTGACGAAGTGTTGGTCATCAGTCCCGGGGAGTGTTATGCGGTGAATCTCTTGGTAGGAGGCGTTAAGGATGCTGATTGCTCCAAAGCCATAGCCTAGGTAGTTGGCGCCCTGCCAGTAGGCGAGGACGGGTTCGCCGTCTAGCATTTGGGGCTGGTAGGCGGAGGTGTTGGCATTGGGGCCTTGCCATACAAGCTGACCGTCGTCGGAGTATATGGCTGGGTAGCTCCATTCCATGCTCGAGGAGGATGGAGAGAAGAAGAGGTTGCCTAGTTCTGTTTTGCCATTCTTGGTGACGTTCAGATATGGCGCTTGGATAGAGGTACTGCGGAAGGTCTGCTGGGGCCAGGTGGACTCTGCGGCGACTCTTGCGCCGAGGAAGAAAGTGAGGAGATTTGCAGCATTGTAGCTGCTGAATTGGCGCATTTTGGGTGTTCTGTGATTCCTTGAAGCAGGCTTAGTATCCAAGGAGCTGTGGCAGAGGAATTGGCATGATTTATAGTTCGCTGAGCGTCCCCGTATGTGATATCATAATCTGCAGTTTCGGCCATTATATCGGCAATCCCATCACGAAGCAATGGGCACCAGCGGGGTAAGAGGATGAAGAGCCCTGTGGCATCACGATTCGGAAAGTGGACATTGCCGTCCTTCCAGCTAAAGAAAGTAGTCTATGTTGTGAGCCCGACTTGAGAAGTCCGAGCGTATCCTCGGCAATGGCCTCTGCGGTGGGTGAGATGGACCTCGCCGAACATGCCCTTTCTGAATGTGTTAAATAGCAGATATCCATGAGCTATTGGGAAATCGAAGTGAGTCAGTGGAGGTGCCATCTGTCTATGGGATTGGATGATGGGATATCCGAATGCGGAGAAGTTCCGGAACGTAATAGCAAGTGATGAAATTGTGAGGGTTCGTGCTTGATCGACAAGTCGACAGGGTCGCTTAAGCGAAGATAAGATGCGGAGAGCCCGAGTTCTACTGAAAACCGAGGGGAATCGTTCCTGATGCGATACTAGGGCCCCATCTCCCCGGAATGCTGTGGGGTGGCGTGTGGGGACTCGGGTCTTGATCGTGCTGCTGCTGCAGGGCATTCGCTCGCTACCGGCCGCAGCCTAGTATAACTCCACGCTTAGAGCGCGGCATATATGGACAGGGCTTGGGGAACAGCCGACGGAATTGCCGAGCAGTGTTCAGGTGACATTCTGCTGTTGTTGAGCAGCTAGGCATCGGTAGAATGAGGGGTACTCTTCTAGCGCAGACTCAAGCCAGGTCTAAACACCTGTTAGCACAATATCTTTCACAATATAATAATTCAAAGGAGCTCACGATGATGTTTGCAGGATTGGACAGCTGGTGGAAAGCCAGGCATACCGAAAATCGTGGCACGCTCAGGGTAAGAAGACAGGAGACAGGATGCAACCCAACGTTGAGAAGTTCCGAGACATCTGGTCCAACATCGTGTCATACCTCTAAATGTCGACCTAATTATCCGTTGTCATCATTCATGTCGCTTATCATGTCAACTGCTAGCTCAGAAAGCCTGTAGGATAACCAGAACTTGGGAGCCTGTGGGAGAGGCTTTTCTGACCACATCCTGGCACATCGATGAGAAAGAAGGAGGAGAGCTTCTATAAAAGATGATTCTTAATCACCTGACACACGCAAAGACATTTCGCCATCGCATCGTCTTATGTCGCAATATAATATTGCGTTGATACTTACTAGTATGCTCGAGGTATGAATGTCTATGTATGCATTCAGTCCTGCTCCGTATTCCTTTCAACAAGCTAAATACCCAAGTCCTAAATATCCGAGATGCCCTAATCTTCATTACCACTCCTCGAACTGGGCTGTAGTGGTGCTCACAATGTCCTGAGACTAAGATATCGTCCAGCGTCTAATGCAGCCGATATTGCCGCAGTTTCATCGTTTGATTTTCATTCTTTTTCTTCTCTCATCCAGACCTATGCTCATAGCAAATGAGACCATAACTCTTGTCAGAATTGCTTCGATCTACCAGATCGCAGATTCATATATCCGCGTGGGAGAATAATCTGTAGGGGTATATTCCAATAGAGGCAAGCTAGACAAACCAGCCTACCTCCGAGGTTAATACACGAATTGAGTTACATGGAACCTGAGTCCCAGGTATACATCCGAGCTGTCTGACCAATGGTACTCCTCACAAAGGCCATTGTTGGCAGGGCAAGTCCTGACGTCAGAAGCGGACGGTCCAAGCGTTTCCCCCAACTGGCATCCCCCCTGCATTTCCCCCGCCATTCCCATCACCACTTCTGCATCAACTGAACTATCGCTCCGATCGAGATCAGATTAACCAAATTCAATTCACAGCACATATTACTATAACTAAGGGTGCGCTAAGCATGTTGCGCAATACGAAACTCCTCAGCACCAGATCCCATCCATTTATACCTATAACTACAAGAGCTGGTCAGCTGTGCCACCCATCGGTATCTTCCTACCAGCATCGCTGCCTTGTGACTTCCCAAACTATCCACAAAGAAAGACATCTCGAGTCCGATTTGGACCGGCATCTACTCCGGCCTGAGCATAACGAGAATACCAAGTCGGGCACCGACGACGAAGCAGCTCATCACTGGTCTTCGTACGATCCCACTATCACCGACCCAGACCTTGAGGTTCTCGCCTGCGAGGAAGAGTGCGAACTTGATGGTGAACTAGATGACCCTTTGTTCGTCAGCCCAGGCAATAGGGAAGTCAGTCGTTTCCTTGATCCGATGATCGGAGGGGCGGTGCATGGTGCTACGAGACCGGGCCCAAGTGGGAGGGGATGGACAAGAAAGCATAAGGAGGTGATCATCAAGAAAATCCCCGGAAGTCAGTTTGAGAAATATGATCGAATACTGCAGGAGCTGAGGAAGGCAGATAAGCGGTGAGTTGAAGACTCCCTCAGCTGTATCCAGTGTGATCATGTTGATACTCGTCCAGGGCCACGAAATGAGTGTTGTAGTGAAGGGTCTACCGGCCAGGTATTACTTCCTGCATAAAAGACCCCTTGTTGTCCGTGGTTTGCCAACTTCAACCCGGTATGGAGTTAGCATACATTGAATATGGATTGTTAGGTGAGTTGTTGATGGATGTGCATGTATAGTGTCGGACTCGGTTATGGCCAGAAGACGGGCCACTGTATCACTCACTCCCAGATTGTACCAAAATGTGATATATGAAACAAAGTAAAAACGATGCATTACAATGTCAATGTGAAGAATTATCACCTGTTATACTTTATACCTTATTGAGCTGCCATCGACCGTACCTAGCCTTCGACCGAATGTGTAATGGGTTCAAAAAGACCGTGTTCCCGGCGTTGTGTGCAACTACAACATCCCAATTGGAATAACTAAGATTGTATATGAGCTATCATATGGATGCTTGATTACGGAAGGGGTACTGTATCCAAGTGCACTATAAATAGAGAAAAGTCACTAGTCGACATGACCAAAAACCACATCAACAAAGCCCCACTACCATCACCAAAACCGACAAGTCAGGGCCTTTTTCATTCATAAATAATTAGAGGGCCCCATTTAACTAGTGAAAGTCATATACTATTTCCTTATTCCATTTACTCGTCACAGTATCCAGAAAAATCTCCCCTGAACAGCCCTATCATTCCGGACATATAACAGAATCATAATACATGTAGATCACTTTCTCAAACAGGACATAGACATAAAACCCCAAATCTTGGAGTGACCGGATAATGCCCTGGAAAATAAATTAAAGATAGATTAATATCCCACCCGCTAGCGTGGCCAGTCATCGTCGCATACGCCACCCGATCAACGACTATTACGTCAGTCCGCGCACCGTGGCTGGATGGATGGAATACATTGAATGAATAGATCAGGAGAGTTTAGAGTTTGCTATTGTGATTGTACCTTTTTGTGATTGATTGATCTATAGCGTTATTTCATTGAATGTCTATTTGGGATGGACTGTTTAAAATGAGATGGACTGGTAATCTGTACATTTTGTACCATTGTATACTCCTGGCTGCATTGGGATGGGGACAAACTTCATCTAAGCGTGGAACATAGAGTCTCCGTTTTGTGGGATTACCCAGGAAATACTATTTTGAATGTACGGAAAGGCAAGAGTATCGCATATCCTCTCCTGTGGTAAAAGGTAACTAAATCTCAGATCTAGTCTCCCTCAAAGTAACTCGTGGACATCAACAACGCTAATAACTTGACAAACCCATCATACTATACACTCAGATGATTCGAAGATACATAGCCTCGAGAATGGATTATCCCTGACTAGGGCAGGAGGTCTTCTCTTCTGCATGCTCATCATTGGAGAAGGGATCCGTATGCACATATGACTGATGTCCACGGTGCCGCGGCCTTTCAGCTTCTGGTCGACTCTCTGCAACCAGACACGCGGACAACGAACTCTAATCAGTAGAGATGACCTGCAATATCTCTACTGCCCTAAATAATACCTAATAGTGGCGTGCGTTATTGAGAGGCTCACGGGTGCACTCGAGTACACCGATAGGCCACCACTGTGTGCAGGTTCACCTAGGCAAAAACAACCCATTAATAACAGATCAAAGCGTATTTCTGGAGCAGACGAGCGCTGATAACCCGGAGTGAGGCCTGTAGTGTGCTCGAAAGATGGTGATTAGTACTTCATTGTCCATGCCTTTTTATTAGCCTTTATTCGCAATTGTTTAACGCAGGTCTGAATGACAAACGCGCACAGGATTGACTAAAGCTAAAGACCGTTTACCGCAACATACGATCCCGGTAGATCTCTCACGATATCTTAATACATGATGCGAAATTCAAAATATAGGGTATGATATTTCGGGACTTGGATTTCCGGGTCAGTGGAGTGGAAGGTTTGAAGTGTAGAAGATCGGAAATAGTGTCAGATAGTCGCTTGTGGCGCCGGATCAAGTGCTAGAGGGAGATGCTAATTCTCCGACATGCTAGTACTAAATGGCTGCTGAAATCTAGGTATTCCCAACACACGATAAGGATGAGAGTGTAGAAGAGACGAATTCCTGTTTTCGGTAATTTGCTTTTATTCACTTTATGCGCAATAATAATACCTAATATTAAGATAACGATCATAAAGCCGAACTTCGACCAAGCCACAGCGTCAATCTCCGGCCTGAAGCTGACCCGTCCACGGATGAGATCATTCCCCACATCTGCGACACGAATCGGAGGATAAACCGCCCACAATGCCATCATTGCTGAATCGCGACAGAGCCACGTTGTCCGCTCATTGGATCTGATCCTAGCCGTTACATGTCAGATCTCATTTTATTGACTGGGGAGTCAATGCGCCTTCAAGTGCTGGAGGTGGTACGGGATGACGTTATCCGATGCTCGGCCGCGTGTCGACAATGCGATGCCCTGCGATCCGTGGTTGAGAGCCAAACTTTCGGCCGCGGACTTGATATCCTGTTTTCTGTACCATTGTGTTACTGTTGACGGGATGTGATGATGCTCGGATTTAGCGGGAGATGCTGGAGATGTATCCTAAAGTTGGGATATCGACAGTGAGATATGAGAGTGAGGAAACCACTGTAGTGAATATTATGGAGCTGTCAGGGCTCGAAGGTATGGTTCCTGACTAATCTGCACTAAAGCACCTGATATCAGGTGTCTTTGCAGCGAACAAGAATAGAATGCCCCAGTCAATCTCCTTGAGAAGGAAAGCAGCAGAGATGATCCATCCACTTCTGACGCAAGAATGATCCAGCCCTTCGCGCTAACTGGGGCAGTGGGGCAGCTTTCATCTACTTTGTCTCTATTCTTTGTCTTTGTGCTCGATTCTAAATTCCGTGCATCTGATGGGCTGATCCTGCACACCATCGCGCTGCTTGCAGCGATGATGTGACAGGCTTCCTACGCCACGGAGGCCCTGCATGTATCTGCTCGACGGTGACGGGGATGATAACACCCCAGATTTGATCCAGGCGCAATGACGTAGGTGGGCTTCGCTGCATAGTAGATGCATTTAAAGGGTCTTGAAGCGTTGGACTGATGGTAAGCATCTAGTCAATAACTTATTCCTGCACATATCTTCATACCTGACGATAGTACTCACGATCAAACCTTACAATTGCTATCGACTTAGTTCTGACTTTTTCCTATCTGACGAATCACGAACTCCAAAAGGCTGTACGACTGACGAACGCGACGACAAATCAGCTACTTCTACTACACTAAGACAACTATCCAATCAAGATCGGCGCATTTTTCTCTAATCCTTTTACGTCTAACCAACCCATCCCATCTAATACATCAACTATGGCCTCTCCTATCGCAAGTAAAGTCTCCAAGCTCAACCTCAGCCCCGACTCCAAGCGAGGCACTCCACCCAAGATCCGCCAGCAGACCCCCCAGAAGAAGACCCCTCCTAAGCTTCAGGCCCAGGAATCTGCCTCCCAGGCTGAAGAGCCAAGCGCCCCCTCTACCCCCACCCCCAAGGGTAAGGTCAGGCAGCTGCAGTCGGAGCAGCGCGCTTCCCCTGCTCCGGTCCCAGATGATGCCCAGTCCCAGGCATCCGGATCGGCAAGCCAGATTGAAAGACCCGCCTCTGAGCTTGGAGCCAAAGCCCAGGACACTGCGCAGAGTGTGCAAAATGGCGTCGAAGACCAAGGTGTCGGCCAGATTGACTTGTCTGTTCTGAAGGGTCTGCAGGTCGGCGAGGATGGTCTAATCCATGACCAAGATGGCAATGCCATTGGCCGACTTGCAGAAGGCCAGGCCGAATATCTGACCGGATATACTGTTGGTGACAACGGAGAGATCCTCGACGAGGATGGGGATCTCGTCGGAGTTGCCGATGTCCTTCCCGAGGCCTTCCAGAATGACGTTGGCAGCGTTCAGGAGCAGGCCGAAGAAACAACCGATCAGGCACCAAAAACCATCAACAATATTGCCGAGCTGGTGGATCGCCCTGTCTCAGAGTCTGGGGAAATCAAGGATGTTAATGGCAACACCATCGGCAAACTTGTTGAGGGCAACCCCGAGGATTTGGCTGGTTATGCTCCTGACAAGGAAGGAAATATTCTCGATGACGATGGTGACCTTATTGGTCGGGTAGAGATCGCATCCCAAGCTGAAGAAGCAGCTGAAGAAGTTCCCGAAGCGAAACCAATCACCGATATTGCGGCCTTGGCTGATCGTCCCGTGTCGGCGTCTGGCGCTATCAAAGACGACCAAGGAAAGCCGATTGGAAAGCTGGTCGAGGGCAATGCCGAGGACTTGGCAGGATATGCCCCCGACAAGGAAGGAAATGTCCTGGACGATGACGGTGATTTAATTGGCCGTGTCGATATTGCGTCCCAAGCCCGCCAAGGTGCTGAGAGCGTCGCCAGCTCCCAGAGACCTGCCAGCAAGCTAGGCCGTGAGACTGTCGATGATGCGGAGCAAAGGGACACTTCAACCGCCGGTCAAGCCAAGGAAGATGTCGAGGAGGCTGCTGAAGAAGCAGAGGATGACCTGCCTCCACTTTCTACGCTTGAGGGTCTCAAGTGCAACAAGCTGGGCAAGATTGTCGATCGGGAAACCGGTAAGCCTGTTGGTGAACTGATCGAGGGCGATGCGAAGAAGATCTCTAGACTGGGGGCCCAGCTCGATGACAAGGGACAGTTCTGGGACAACCGCGGCAACGTTATTGGAAAGGCCAAAACCCTTCCCGTCGAGGAGCATCCCGATGAACCGCCCTTTGGCGGGTTGGAGGGACTCCATGTTGTTGAAGATGGTTGGGTGGAGGACCAGAATGGCAAGCGCGTTGGCAAGATCAGCGAAGGCGATGCTAAGAAGGTTCTTGGACGTCCCGTCGATGAAGATGGGGACGTCTTGGACAAGAACGGCAATGTCATCGCCAAGGCTGAATACTATGAGGC